TAAAGTTAGTTTCCTTCTCATTGAATGTTAGTCATTTCCTGATAGAACACCCATTTTTTGTTCGTTATGAATTTTAACAGACTTTTGTATTTGCCCTTATTTGAGATAAACATTTTACAAGGAGATCCAGTGGAAAGGGAATCATATTACTAGATTGGTGCTGATTAAAGTTGTTACCGTTCTGTTCCTTTTAAGAATTAATTTTCATAGAATAAATTGATCTTGTTGTACATTTCACTTCTCTTTCTGATATAATTGTTGTAAGTTTACAAAAACTTTAATTTCTTTTCTTTTAGTATGATAATTTTCAGATATGTTCCTGCTTAATAAGTAGCCTTTTTCTTTCATTTTGAATTTTTATAAATTCCCGATTGATTAACCACCTCCAGTTCATTTTCATCAAGCAGAATAAATGTGGATATCAGTGGGAAGTGAAATACTTATGGTATGATAGTGAAGTACCTATGTTATGATTGTTGATGGTTAAGCCTTTTGTCTATAAAGTTCTCTTTCAGGAAAAAAATTTCATTGTTATCAATTGAGCTTTTAATGGTTTTTGATATTTCCCTTCCCCTGCAACAATCCTTCCTATGGGAACTTCCTCTGGCGCTCTTAAGATGGTGGATACCTACCTAAAAGGTAGGATGGTGACTTGAATTTAGTGGGCATATTTGTGAGATGACTTCCTGTTGGAGTCAGTTAACTTCCTTTCTGTAGATGGCTCTTCTTATTTACTCTGGTTGTTTCAGGAACTAGTGCCTCTCTTTGCAAATAGGAAGTTTCTTGCTGTCCCATGGCAATTTAGCGATGACAGTATGAACGCCTATGCACAGTATATACTGAATGCATGGTTAATTCTTTTGATGCTCGATTTGGTTGCTTAAATTCTCGGGATTTATGTTTATACTCTTCCACTTAATAAACATCAGATCTGTCCCATGTTCGAGACAATAATGGAAGACTAGCAATCTTAGCTTCTTGTATAGGAATTACAGAAAAGTCCCAATGGACTTAATGAAGTCATGACTCATATGCAGAAATTTTGTAGTTGCTAAACTTCTGGGAAATGCATCTATGCTCATTGGATTGGATGCTTCATGATTCTGTTGTACAGTGCAAACTCTGATTGTATTAGGATTAGGACTGCATGAACAGTGCTGAAAGAATGTGGTTTATTTTGATTGCATAAAATTGTCAGTCTTTCAGCATGTGAGAACTGGTTATTCAAATTTACTTTTCCTTTAATTTCTATAACTAGCTTCTCTTACGAATTTTGAGGTGAAACTTAGGATTGGATATTTTTGAGTAAATTGCAGTGGCATTCCTGAGAGTTTGTTAAGAACAAACAGAATATACTTCTCCAATGCGGCATGTAATAATGACAATAATAATTTCAAAAACAATGGAGAGAAACCTTGCATTGGAGTAAGTTTGTAATGTTGACAACGATTTAGATCAAGGAGGTAAGTGTTAGTCTAAGGGGATGCATGTGTTATTACACAAAATCTCAAAGAGGTTACTGTATTTGTAGTAATATATCCTCTTATCTAAATGTGTCTTTGGTTACACCTTATCTTGGAATCAAATACAAAGTCCACTTTATTGTTGAATGTAAACCTATTTTGTTGACTTTTTAAATCATATAATCCAAACATGTGAAAGCTAGCTGTCTGCCTTGGTGTCTAATGCTTCAAGCATGACTCTTAATGCTTATATATCATGTACTCTTTTGAATGAGATGGAAAAGACGGTCTCCAAATTTGTTTTGGATTTGACAGGGACGACTCCATAGTTTGAAATCTATCTGCCAATTTTTTAAAATGTAGAAATTTGAGGATGACCATTTTACCCTCTCTCTCTCTCTCTCTCTCTCAGTGTTTGGTCCTGGCTAGTAGCTAGGCTGTTGATAGCATGACAACGGACATTGACGCTGGCTTTGACTTCATTCTTGGTCTTGTGTATCCTTTGGAATATTGCTAGGTTCAGCCTAATCATTCTAATTAAGAATTGATTGTGTGGAAAACGAATGGTAGTTTGTCCTGGAATTATGACCAAACATGGATTTGTTAAAGAACAAATCAAAGATTCCTTTTTTGCTTTTGAAGGATTGATCACCGTCTTGGATATTATATAGAGCCAGAAAAGTGAAATCTGGATTTGATTAATTGTTTAATGATTCCTCTCTCAGAACTGTCAAAGTTGGGGTTGGCAGCATTAACTTTCTCTGCCATTTCCACATAACAAAGTCATAATCTGGAACTCTGCAGAGCTTTCCAGCTTATGCCTAGTTTGTCTCTTAGCAGAAGTTACAAGTACTTAACATGTGTATTTTAATTTCTAAGACATGGTCTAACTTAGTTTTGGTAGCAAAGTAAGCACCATATGTTGTGAGGTCTATGTTTACACACATGTGGGTCCTCATAATATGAATTGCCGTTTGTAATTATAGACTTATGTCTTATATAGTATATAAGAAGGAGATGACAAGGCAAAGCATATGGGGATACCTTCATACCTTATCTGTTAATGACTTCTTTTATTTTTATTTAATTTTTTAATTTTTGGTCCGGTACTTCTTTTCAATCTTACCCACTCCAACCATGTGATTATCAGCTTTGCACAGAAAATTTAGAGCTTTGACTAGATTCTTTATATCATAGCCAATCATCTGGTATATACTCATGGGGCAGATCTATATGATGGTAATCTGTTCCTACTCCATATATATATCATGTGACTTAAAGCTTTCCATGCAGAAAGCTGGAAAGCTTTTCAATCTTTGACTAAGTTGTCTTAATCTTTTAACCAATCAACTGATATATGTATATTTATAGGAGATGTCTTGATTGTGATCTCTCTCTTTCTCTCCCTCCCTCCCTCTCTCTCCTACAGTCTTGTTTTTAGACTTGTTACATCATCTTCTGATACAATATTCTTCGATGGTCATTGCCTAGCTCCATGCTTGTTTTTCGTACGGAGTGTCGACGTTTCACCTCTCTGGATTAATGAAATGCTTAAGGTATGTCTACCTCCATCTATATTTTGAAGCCTGATTGTTAGATGCATGTATATATTATCTTGATCCTGATGCTACGAAACTGAAGAGCTTGGAATATAAGGGTTTCTTTTCAAGGCTATTTTCATGTTTACCTTTGCACTCCACACTTCTTGGAGATCACCATTTTTTATGAGAGGATCGAGTTAGTTGTATGAATCCCAGGGTACTTAGATGATAAGCTTATATCTGCATGAATTCTAAGCAAATTCTACATCCTGTCCTTCCGCATTTTGTTTAAATGAAATTGGATTTGTGTTTCTGACATATCCTGTTGTGGAATTTTTCTTTTGAAGCATAGTTCTTAGATGTCCATTTCTTCTTTGGAAGTACATGTTCTTTTGGTGCTGCCTTTAAATTAAGGTTTTTGACAACTGACAAACAGCTTAAAAGAAGAGAGAAAAGGGTTTTTACTTTTTCTCTGATTTTGAGAAAGCACTGAAACAAAGAAACCACTAGCGTTTGTCCATGTTGGTCAAATGGATTCTTAAGGCTTTCTTGTTTGTTTGTAAAAGGGTTTTGTTTTTTGGTAAAAGCGTTTGTCCATTTGTTGTATGTATTTAGTGTTCCTGGGCTGTGCTCTCCAATAGGAATACGACAAGTCTACCATTGGGCCTCTATGGCATATCCAACTCATAGGTTTGCATTGCAATTAGGGCTCTAAAGTACGTTTAGTTTGACTCTATTTATGACACCCATGAATTCTCCCTTGTTGATTTCAAGCCGTGCAAATACCAAATAGTTATAACTTGTACATTTAATTTTTTTATAATATAAAGTGATATTGTGGGAGGGGGAAAATCGAACCTAGGATTGTAGGACCACATGTGCATAGGTAAATGCTCTTAACCAACTGACCTCGGGTGTGTTTGCATGATTCTATAGTAATTGTTTAGAATCGGTTTTGAAAATGCTCGTATATATCGTTTCTTAAACTAGGGTGTGTGCTTGATGGATTTCATTGTTGAATATACCGTCTCTTGTTTTTCTCTTTTTATGCTCGGAAAACACAAGAATAAAAAAAATTCAAATGGTCGTGAGCCCAACATGAACTGAACCGTTCTTGGGCTGGTTCAGATCAAATGGTAATTTTTGTGCAACATCAAACTGAAGTGGACCGGTTATTTTTCACGATTTGGTTTTTGGTTTGAAGAGAACCGAACTGACCGAACTGAGCCGTGATCACCCCAAAACCCTCGTATGTATGTAAGTTAAGCAACATTAATGCACCTTGCAGCTTGTACCTAACACAAGCATCGGTTTCATGGTTTAGGGTTCAACTGTGGTGAACATTAGATTGTGAGTTGCTCTAAGGCGACGTGCATATGTGTTGGTCTTGTCCAATACTTAAAAAAAATTAAAAAATTAATAACAGGTCGACTTTTCTAAAATTCAACACTACGCAATTAAAACTCCTCAATTTAGAATTGAGTTTTTCCTTTTCCCGCCAAAGATTAGCAGTCGTAGCAATGATTGCAGTCCATGTATATGTTTTGAGCTAAAAGATACTATTCGTATATATTTTTCAGAGAGTCTCTGTCATTCCAGCAGCGATTTATAATTTCTCAGAGAGTGTCATTTTTAGGGTTTCCTGCATGCAGCTCCATGCAGTGTAAATCCTAATTCTTATTATACTCTTTGAAGAAGCCCTAAGAAACTCAAACCATGTAGTGCTACTAGTATAATATCATCATTAAAGTTCTTGAGCCTCCACCCCATATATAGATTATCATATATTATCATATATTATCAGGGTGCCTTACATGTTCTTATCTTTACGTTCGTTAATATAATTAGGCACTAATATTTGGATAATTTATAATTTCGATACTCTACAAGTAGTTGAATATTCTATAGATATATAGCATGAATTCAATTCATAACCTAACCCTAAAAAAAAAAAAAAAAAAAAAAAAA